GGATGGTCCCGTATTCCCCTTTCGTGACGGTCGTGTTTTCAAGTAAGGGACATGCCGACGGGTCGTTTTTAGACGTGGCTTTCCCCGTGCTCAATTTTAAGGGGGCTACTGCAAGTATAGCGCAAGCAGGGTCGAAAGGACAGTGCTTGCGGACCACTTCTTCAAAAGCCAAGAGGCGGCCGGAACTTGGTCGCCGTCGTGGGTTTCCAATGTCCTCATCTTCATGCTAGCGGGACGTCCGCTCTTGCACGAGTGTGTTCGAGCTATCGGAGTGTTTGGGATGGGCCTAGGTCTATCCCTTCGTGCTGCACAGGACTCGGCATTTAAGATGCCTGCGTGTTTGGTTTGGTGGGCCTTATGGCTTTCAACATATATGTTCAAGGGTTTTTGTGACCTTCGATTGATCTAAAGACCATGTGCCTTCATGGCCCTATCGTGTGGATTGCCCTGAGCAGCGAGGTTGTCATGTGGCTTGGAGGTGGTCAGCGGACGTGTGGTCAACTTAGGAGAGACCCGAGGTGGGTAAAGGGATCGAGATGGGCTGCCATCCACCCTGACTTGCCATCGCGATGGTTAGGCTATCAGCTGTGACGAGTGCACGTGAAGGAGGACGGGCCTGCTCAGATGGCGCGTGGGACAGGCCGTCTCGCTTTACGGGCGTCGGTGGAGGTGGTAGCCCTGCTGGGGTTCACTGAGTGGCGGGGCAGCCCACATCTAGGCCTACGACTGACTAGGTGTCAGTCGGGAAGGTGTAGAAGAGCGACCGCAGAGCAGACCTTGGAGGTAACCCTAGTGGGTTCCCTCCGGTAAAGGGTGGAGGAAGGAGTAGCGATGTGGATGCCCATACTCCGTATTACCTTAGATTGGACTAGGGTGGCAGGGCCAGTTAACCCAATCAAGCATGAATAAGTCACTGATATGGGGATGAAAAAGTCCCCGATTTGGAGGAGAGAAGAAGAGTGGGAATCCATCAAGATTTTAGAAAGAGAGGAGAAGAGGATTTTCGTTTGAAAAGAGTATGAGCCAACTATAGGGTAGTGTGTCCCCAGTGAAGTCGTCAATTGGTCGGGGCCTGATTTTCTCTGGTTCCCTCGCATGGGGGCACGGGGAAAAGATCCTCTCTCAAACAACAGCAGAAGGCTCACACGCGTGGCACCTCGGGTGACGTGGGCGGGCTAGCTTTCTAGAGTGCGGATAGGCTACCAATGAAGAGAGAGATTTTACGATGGGGAAGGGTTGATCTGCTTACCTCATCATTGCGAGTTCGTGGGACACATCCAGGCAGCTCACCCTTTTAGATCAATTACGAAAGCCCTCCGACTATTCACCAGTGCGGTATGGTCAGGGACTCTCTTCAGACACTAGGACCCTCTTCTCTCCTCTCAAGTCTAGGTTCCGATGGAGGTTTTTTATTCTTCGTTCCGGGGTTGGCTTTCTTTTTGCCTATCAAACAAGCGAGTGGGGAACTTCATCATTATTATCAGACTGTCAAAGCGAGGGAGAGGGATTAGACGCAAATGCGCGTCAGTTTGAACCCTTTCCCATTTGTTCGGGATCGCGCAGTCTTGAACATGCGTGGGATTACCCATGTAAGAGAAGAGAGAAAGTTTTGAAAGAGATAAACATCTTCAAGAAGAGGAAAGTACGTACCCGAGCGGTCGGGAGTCTTTTCCTCTCTTGGAAAAGTTTTCTCTCCCCTCGCCTTGGGACGCTAAGGCTAAGAGAAAAGACAAGTAGAATCAACCGTAATGCCTCTTCTTTATTAAATTGTAATCCCCCTTTTACAATTGACTTAAGCCTGTTTATATAGAGTTTTCCACAAACATGGGTGGATACCCAATAACTAAGCCTCAATACAATTAAAAGTAATTAAAATAAATTCTCAAAATTGGGTACAATGACCAAAATGCCTTTTAAGTTCTTTTGACAGACCCGTCCTTTACTGAGAAGCCTACCGCCATCATCAAACTTTGAGAGCTCTTCCCGAGAAATTGCAGCGTGAGTTTGGTTGATTTTTTGTTGTATTCTTGTCGTTGTTTCTTATGATCGTTTTGATGTCTTTTGCTTGTGTTGCGGCAATCCCTTTTGTGAGGGAAGTAGTCTGGTCAGTTTTGTGGGTTCTTTGATGAATTCTTTCTTGATATGCAGCATCTCGATTAGTCTGGGGAAGGTGTTCTTCAAGTGTTTTTCCTTACAAAAGGTTTAATTTGTTTTGCATTGTTTTTGGACTTCTGATGGATCATTAAAAAGGGATTTCTGGTGATAGGGATTTTTCGCTTCTTTATTCTTGTGACCTTGGATTTTATGTTTTGCTTTGAATGTTGTTTGTCGTGTTTGACCTGGGTTCTCTTCCTAGAAGTGTTCCTTTCTTGGTATCAGCTTTTGCGTTGCCGAGTTTTCTTCTGCGAAGGGCTAAGACGTCATTCTGAATATTTCGGCACCCGTGTTGTCAGGCCTCCTTTCTTCTCTGTCATAGAGGAGGCTTATCTTTTGCCCTTGTTTGTCAGAGGGAAGGATTTCGTCGAAGCGTTTTGTGAGTGTTTGAGGCCTTCTGCTACTCTTCTATTACAGGGAAGAAGCTGCAAGCTCGTCGAGGGGTGGTCGAGGAATCGCCATGGCCATCGACTGGTTTGGTGAGGACGTACAACGGAAGGCTTGCCTCTGCCCTACTTCGCGATGGTCCGGGCTTAGGGTCGCTGGGTCGGTCTGTTTGAGCCCAGGCCTACTTCCTTTTTCTTGGAAGATGATGGTCGTTTGGCATGTCTATCCAGCTCCGATACACGTGGTGGTGGGGATAAGATTTCAACTCTTTGTTCATGTAGGCGTCTTTTCCTTGGTCATCTCTATTCGAGTCGTATTTCTTCTACGACTACTATTCGGGCTGTAGCCAGCTTTCTTCCTTTATTTGTTTGAAGGGATGCGGTGCGTAAAAAATGACATATAACACAGTGAACTTATAACCTTCTGAGTCTAGAGAAGAGAGGAAAATCAAGATCTTTTTTAGTTCGGGCACATGCCTAACATCCTTAATTGCCCGAATAGTCCCATCATCCTTAATTGCCCGAATAGTCCCATCAAACATCCTTAGGCGAACCGAACCCATTCCAACTACCTTGCTAGTAAAAATTATTACCCATGGATATCGATCCTCCTTCACATGACTCATATGAGTCAAACCATGATCTATGTGGGCACATATGATAGGTGGCTCCACTATCAAGTATCTAATTTTGATAGAATATTGAATTATATGCCGCCATCAATATTTCATCTTCAATGAACCCCGATGTAGACTCTTCAACTTGATTTTCTTCATTCTTGGATTCACTTGGCTTTTTACCTCTCGCATTAGGAGCTTTGGAAGAATTCACTCTATTTTTTTTAAAACAATTCTTCCTTATATGACCTCGCTTCTCACAATGTTAATACACATTCTTGTTATTGGGCCTTCTAGATTTTGATCGAAATCTTGAATTACTTCTTGAATGATTCCTCGATGAATCACCCCGTTCATTCGATCGACCTCTTGCCACAAGAGCTTTCATCTTTGATTCCGCCGTATTTCCCATAGATGTCTTCTTTCGAAGTTCATCGACAAGTAGGGCACAACACACTGAGCCCAAATCAAGAGCATCTTCTTTACTACAACTCAATGTAGTAACAAGGTTATCAAAGGATTCCGACAATGAACAAAGTGAGGTGACCGCCTTATCTTCACCATCCATTCTGGCACCAATACTCTCAAGTTGACAAATGATGTTATTAAACTCATTCAAGTGTTTCGACACATTTGCACTTTCTTTCATTCTCAAGGAATACAATTTTCTTTTTAAGAAAATTAAGTTTGTGAGAGATTTTATTTGATACAAACTTTCCAATTTTTCCCACAAATATTTTGTCGCCTTTTCGCCAACAATATTAAACAAAACTTCATGCGTTAAACACAAGTAAATAGTGGCCAGTGCCTTCATATCAAATTCATCCCAATCATCATCTATCATATTTATCTGTTTCTTATCTTTTCCAAGTAATGCTTTGTGTTGTCTTTGATGTACCAATAAATCTTACATTTTTAATTTCCAAATTTCAAAATTATCTTTCCCATTAAACTTCTCCACTTCAAACTTGTGATGTGCCATTTTTCCAAAAATATTACACTAACTCCTCGAGCTCTAATACCACTTGTTGTAAAATCGGGATAACCCAATCACCCCTTTTGAGCAAATCGAGATATCTCAAATCCCACTAGATTTAGTGAGCACTACACCACAATGATTTCAACACTCAAATAACACGCCCAAGATGCAATAACAAGTGCAATATAATTGGGAAAAATATAAAAACAAGAAAACAAGCAATATGGGAAATCTTCAAAGCACAACACAAATGAAAATAGAGAGGGACACACACATATACATGGTTCACCTAAGATGGGCTATGTCCACGGGTAGGACATCAAAGATGTATTCACTATCAAGAGGAAAACTTACAAGATTGGGGTTATGTAGAGTTACCTCATAGAATCTCAAGGAAAGCTCAAACAAAAGATTTTCGTACCACAAAACTACCTACAATCGACTGCTTTCTTCGATTCACTAATGCCGCGAAGAAATGCCAAAAAAATAGCCCAAGATGAGCCCCAATTGGTGGTGCTAGGGTTTTGTTATAATCTCTCTCTACAACTTCCCTTTCTCCCTCACTCACTCACGTTTTTCTCTCTCAAAAAAACCCCTTTTATGGGCCTCCACTGAAAAAGCTTATTTTAGTAACAAAAATACCCTTTAACAATAAGGATAATACCATAGAGCCATAAGGTGTGATCTTTGCATTACATCCCAACATGATTCACCATTGAACCTATGATTTATTGGGAATTATAAGCAATGCAACTCGTGATGAGTTTGATTTCAAGATTTGGGTGTCAATTATCAAATCGGTTTTGCAGAAATGCTGGTAGGTTCACTCCCATAACTTTGAAGTGGGTAAGGTCTGATTAGGTCATGCAGTATAGAAGTGCTCCATTAAAGGATGAGGAAGATGAAGAAGATGTGATAATAGACCAAAGACAGCTCCTAGTTGATTATGATCCAGAAAATTTTGACCCCCACCGAGCATAGAGGCCCACCCACTGATAGGGTTTTTAGGCTCGTTGATGAAATATCTAGTCTCACATTGCTTGAGGTTTTAGAGCTCTCTAAAATCATGATGAAAAAGGTTAGAATGAAAGAGATTTTAGGCTTGTTGATGAAATATCTGGTCTCACATTACTTGAGGTTTCAGAGCTCTCTAAAATGATGATGAAAAAGCTTGGAATGAAAGAGATGCCATTTATTGGCATGATGAAAGCTGGAATGGGTCTTCCTGTTATGCTTGATAAGGGTTCAAGAAGTGCAGCCAAAGAGGAAGAGAAGAAGCCGGAAAAAATTGTTTTTGAATTGAGGCTCAAGAGCTATGAAGCTGCCTCGAAGATCAAGGCCATCAAAGAAGTTAGGTCATTTACTGATTTGGGCCTTAAAGAAGCTAAGCATTTGTTAAAGAAAATCCCTTTTGTTATCAAAAGAGGGGTTTCCAAGGAAGAGGCCGAACAAATTGTTGAGAAATTGAAGGTTGTTGGTGCAAAAGTTGTCACGAAATAAATTACATGGGTGTTGTTTATCTGTTTTCTCTGTATTTTTTTTCTCTGCCCTAGTCTCAATTGGTGATGATGTCTATGTGAAGTGGAAAGAGAGTGCAAACTCTAATAGTGAGGATCCAGAGAGAGCAGTAGGAGAGAGAATGAGGGGAGAGAGATGGGAAGCGAGAGCAGTAGGAGAGAGAATAAGAGGAGAGAGATGAAAAAGACACAAAGAGAGAGAGAAGGGGTGCGGGGGAGAGAGAGAAAGATGAAGAAGTTTGAGAGGATACTTTTAGAAAAGATATGTCTTTTAATATTTGTTTGGCCTAAAAAATTAATTTTAAATTAGCTCAGGGGGTTAGAAGAAATAAAATCTACAATTCTTATGCTCCAAGATATCTTTTAAAACCTTGGGTCTATTGTAAAATGAAATTTCAAAATAAATGGTATAGAGATATTTTCTCTCAAAAAATACTAAAAAATTATATTTTTAAATTTAAATGATTATTTTTATTTTCATATTTATGGCCATCTTTGCCTAGATGATAAATCTACCCAAAAAAATTAGACAAAAAAAAATCTAAAATGAATCGTAGTGGGAGCCGCATATATACATATGAGTCGGCCGACTCATACAAACCCATCGTTAAGAGATTGATGGAATGTCTAGATAATACAATTATCAGAAATGACAATTGAAGAGTGTGAAGGAAAGGACTACCCTTTATAAGGCTCAAAGAACCCCAAACCTAACAATTTGAAGTACATAGAGAATTATTGCAATTACGTAACATTATTATTAGTATTTTAGAAAACTTTGTTGAATGTTGACAATAATTTAAGAGTCATTACTCATAAGATGTGGATGTTTGAGAAGGACCGCTTTGTAATGCAAAAGTCACCAAAGTAGCTATCATCAAGACCATAGGGCATGCTTGCCCCTATAAAACGTTAACAAATTATGCTTTGGCATGAAAGTCCATGCTTAAGCTGGGAAAGCTTTTTGTATGTCACTGGGTATAGAGAATTTATTATCTGTTACCCCTCCCAACCAATTATTATACCTCAATCGTAATGTCACGTGTAAATACTATTTTAATTTTATTATGTAAATATGATGTAAAGAGAAATAGTCAATAAAAATAAAAAAGATTTAAGAGAATATACCCTCTCTCAAAGTCTAAAAGAAAATCCACACTAAAAACGAGTTTTTTATCATACCAAATTTACTCAATTCTCATTATCTGATCTTTTACAATAAGGGACTTCTTCCTTTTTAATAGACTTTGAAGAAAACATATACTTAAATAAATAAAAGAATCACAAAAATTAACACTCTCTTCCACATTTGTTCTCTCTCTCCCTAATTTCTGTCTTTCCTCATATGTCTCTTTCCTCAGATGTCTCTCTAATTTCCTAACAACTTTTAACTTCCTTTATTAATCTTTTTTTCAATATTGGCTTTATCCTACTTAAAACCCTCAATCTTTATCTAAATCTCTTTAAATCTCATGTTGTCTTCTCTTTCTAAAAAGATAATAAATGATAATATAAAGATCTATTTTTTAAACTAAAAGATAGGCCTTTCCAAAGCAAATGAGGTACCAAACTCAAGCCGACCTAACTTTTCTCTTCCTATTCCCAAAAAAAATAAAATAAAAAATAGGCAAATTCCAATTTTATTTGCATCGAAATTACATCTAAATCAAATTTGACATGTCCCATCCTCTTATAGGGGTACACCTAAATAAAATATAAAAACTATTTTTGACAAAATATGATGACCACAATACCCTTAAGGGATGCCCCTATGAGAGGATTTGATGTCCAAAATTTTGTGTACATATGATTTGTAAAAAAAAAATTAATAATAGAATACTCGAAGCTAGGAGATCAAGATCAATGGTCAAAGGTTCACTTACAACATTATAGGTGGAGCTATCTTAGCCACACATTCAAATCAAACGGCTGGAAAAGGGTAACATGAATGAGTTTTCTATACACAGTGGCATATAGAAAGGTTCCCCTAGTATATTAGTTCGTAGTTTTTCAAACGAAGTCCTTTATATCAAAGATGGCGTTTTGGTGCATGAGTCAGCCCACCAATCAAATACACTCCCTTTCCAGAATCTATCTTAGAAATGGATTTTGGGTGGAAATTTTAATAGGACGTTAATCTTGACTACCAGGATAATGAATTTGAAGAAAAACTTAATTCTCAAAAATAGATGATTTTAATTTGTCTTGGGGCCATGTTTGATCCATTCATTTCAATTCGTTTAAAATAATATACTTTCAAGGTCTAAATTATATATTTTTTGTTAGATTCATGATCGTGATGGTCTAAGACTGACGATGATTCATGATTGTGGTGGTTGAAGTAACATCCAAGGAAATTTTATTAAGGGCCCTGTTTCTATGCGGTCAAGCCCACATATGTAGAAATGCGGGCCTATTAATAAATCTATTTTTGAGATGGATTTTATACTTAATTTTTATATGTAATCTCTAATATGGAGATCGTGAATATAAAAAAATAAATAAATTTTAAATACTAGAAATAATAATTCTAGTAAGAAAACATTTGGATTGATAGTTTTCATCGTTTTTAGATAAAACACCTACTTGCATCCATCTTTAAAAATGATGCTTTACACTTTTTTGACAGCATATTTAGTCATGCAGTCCAACCCGCATAAAACAATTTTTCTTTTATTAAATAGGAGTAGTTAGTGCCGTTCACTCAAGTCAACTTATTTACAAGACTTGTGATAAGATTCTTCCCCAATGTCCTTGTGGAGGGTTCCCTTTTCAAAGTGAGGCCAATTGGCAAGGTTTTCAATATAGGATTAAGACATAATGCATGGGTGTTTAAAGAAGTGGGGGTAGTTGTGGTTATACAATAATGGTTTAGAGCGGTGGAATGGGTCTCTTAGTTTCAAATGGAAATAAATTCTTGACTTTTACAAAGAAAAGACTCCAGCGATCATGATATAATGAGAATGGATGTTATTTATTAAAAACAAAAAGGTAAATGACCATGAATAGGAAAGATGGGAGAGCAAAAGAGGAGGAGTTACTGAGAAGGGAGAACGCGGTTTGAGAAGATCGTGATGTATGAAATTTAATAGAAATCGACCACCTATCGGTTCCGAGTTGAATCGCTGGTTTTTTTGGATTTTTTAAAATTATAAATATAAAAGGAAAGAACAATATACTGCCCCTACCCCAATATTGTTTTGAATAGCGTCCTGAGTCAAAAATTGTGCTCAACTAAAGACCAAAACACCTTTTCTCTTTGAGCTTAACGAAAGACCAAAATACCTTTTCTTTTCTCTTTGAGCTCAACTAAAGACCAAAATACCCTTTTTCTTTAATGAGGTCCACACCCTTTACTCTCTTCTAGTACGGTCCCACACTTCCTTAGAGCAGTCCAGAAGTTTTCAATGGCTATTCGACAGTTTTTAGTTGCAATCCAGTTGAGTTTATTCTGGATACACCCTCCGGTCCAACAATTTGGTAATGTGATCTAATAGTTCTTAGTTGCGATCCGCCACTTTCATAGAGCAGTCTCGTAGTTTTCAATGGCGGTCCGATAGTTTTCAATGGCAGTTTGATAGTTCTTAGTTGTGATCCTATAGTGTTTCTTTCGAGTGCACTCTCTAGTCCAGCAAATTGGTAATGTTGTTCCATAGTTCTTAGTTGCAATCCGACACTTTCTTATAGTTTTCAATGGCAGTCCGGCATTTGTTTTGACTAACAAACTAAATGTTATATGATTTGGGTTCCGGCCCTGCAGAAATATGCGTTGGATCGTCTTTTGATGATTTAATGCCTGATGAGAATATGACAGGAATGTGACGTCAAGGTCAGGGGAAGGGATATTTTCGTTTTAAAAACTAAGACTTTTTCACTTGAAAAAATCTTACTATAAAAAACTAGTTTCTTGTGCAAAAGGTTTGAGGTAGCTGGCCACGTTTTAAGACCAAGTCAAAGGAAGCATAACCTTCGTGTACAGCAGAGCATGCATATGCCCCTAATTATTAAAATGCTTGGAGTGCACCAAACTATGCATGCACCTCTGTTTATGTGAAGTTAACTTACATGACCCTCTTTAGTCTTTGACCTATTTCTGATACAACAATTCCATAATCTCAGTTGTTTTGTGTGAGAGAGAGATAGTCTTTGACCTATTTCTTATACAACAATTCCATAATCTCAGTTGTTTTATGTGTGCGTGTGAGAGAGAGAAGTTGCCTCGTCGGGCTCAGTCAGGATTTCTTTATGGGGGTTGAGTAGATTCATGATACATATTGCAGCAACAAGGCATAAAATATTATTGACAACCCCAACTATCATGTTCCTGTAATCCAGATGATCAAATTTATCATATCTAACAAAAACTTAAACAGTGACTATTTATTTTTTCACCAGTAAGATCGAACTGAAGAGAATACAGATCTTTCCTCCTCCAGTAAAAGTGTTAGCCCTCCTTGTAGGAAATAAGTTGTAAAACCATCTTCTTCATCTGTGAATTCTGATAACTTTACATTTTCCCCACCTTGAGGAAACAGCATTAATCCTTTGTTAATCCACATCTTCTGCGCGTTCACAATCAGATAACGTCGCAGTCTGTCTATTATCAGCCCATTCTGGCAAAGGGGGCATAATTTTTTTCCAAAACCAATGTTTTCTCCACAAAAGGATCATCTCTTCAATGGGAACCCCCTTGGTCTCAGGCAAAAAAACGTAGACAAATATGGTCATCACTGTAATCCATCCAGCAAAGAATAGGAAGATCCCAAACCTGAAGAAGCAAAGTAGAGAGAGAAAACTTTGAGCAATAACAAATGTGAAGAAGAGGTTTACAGCCACGGTTATGCTTTGGCCAGCTGATCGAGTCTCCAGAGGGAATATCTCACTAGGAACTGTCCACCCAAGAGGACCCCAAGACCACCCAAAGGCAGCCACAAATAGGCATATAAACACCACAACGGCCACTGAGAATCCCTGAGATAATTCTTTATCGGCTCCAAATTTAAGACCCAGTATGGTTGCCACGATAATCTGTTGAAATTAGATAGATAAGCTGGTCACAGTGTGAAATAACAAAAGCAGGGAAAAAAGGTGAAAAGCACAAGCTACTTGAATTTAATCTGCTCAATGGGTAGCTAACTAGTTGTTGTGTCACACAAGGAATGCCTAATGGTTAGGTAGGTAACTAGTCCTTTTCTCACATACAAAAACATCGTAACACATTGATCGGCAAGAAAAAAATGAGAGTAAGCATGGATATTTTGAAGTTAAACTAGCAAGATGTGATAGAAAATAGATAAATGAATAAATAGAATCTTGGGTGATATTCAAATGAGTGTTTACATAGGGATAACAATTTTTGACAATGCCAAATGGTTTCATCAAAATATAAACTGAAAAATCATCCCTTTCTTCGAATAGACATTCACAGTTGATTTTGAGAAGGATGAGAGATCTGAGTGAAGGAAGAAGTTCTAATTCTTTGGGGGAAGCTATAACACTAAAATGCTTCAAAGTCATAGCAGTAGATATTTAATATATCTAACTGAAATGATTTAGAACCATGACTAGATAATTCACATTTCTATTTTGCAAAATATTCACAGTCTAGCCACCACAAAAAAAATTTAAAAAAAAAAATCACAGTAGGATTTTGATGCCAGATTTGGATTGCCACTCTCTTTATCGGACAAGGAATTTATAACAAAGATAAAGCTTTGCTATGATCTTCCAAATTTGGAAGAAAAACAGAAGAGAGAGAGCATTTGCTATGACAAATGTAGAAGAAATTTTTTTTATTGTGATCGTTAATGTAGAAGAAAATTTTAATGTAATTTCAATTTACTAAGAGAAGAATGTTAAAACAGCAAATCTAGAAGCCAAGTTTACCTGGCAAATGATCATCTGTATGCCTCCACCTATCAGCAATGCTCGTCTACCCCATTTATCAACAGTGGCAATTGAAACCAGAGTCGACAAAGCCAGAACAGCTCCAGTCAAAACAGAAGAATACAATGAAGCATTTCCACCAAAACCCAAGCTCTGAAACAGAATAGGAGCATAGAAAAGAATCGAATTTATGCCCGTCAATATCTGGAAGGTGGGCATAAATATGGCCATGACCAATTGCGGTCGATTTCTTCTTTGTAAAATGTTTCTAAAAGGGTGTTTAATTGACCTCGCAAGCTCACTGGCCTCAATCATGTCTAGAAACTCTGCACTGACATTTGATGTACCTCTGATTCTTTCTAATGTCCTTTTCCCTTTTTCGTTGAAGCCATGTTCTAAGAGACTATTGGGAGTTTCAGGAAGGAGGAGGCCACCAATTGTCATTAGGAGAGCAGGTGCAGCAGCAAGGCCTAAGGAGAGCCTCCAACCCCATGGTTTGATTTTTTCAGTGCCATAGTTTGTCATGTTTGCCGTGAATATACCCACTGTCGTAGCAAGTTGAAACATCATGTTGAGGCCTCCTCTAAGGTGAGTAGGGGCCATCTCAGAGAGATATAAAGGGACGGCCTATGGAGAAAGAACCCAATTTTTGTTTGCTGGTTGACTGATTGTAAAGTTTAGAAGGAAATTGAAATAACAAGAGAAGAAGTGGAAAATAAAAAGAGATTGTCAAATATTTTGTCTGGTTCAAGCATTCTAACATATGAAATCAAAAGAAGAGGTGAAAAACTGATTGTTATGAATGTGAAAGTCTTTTGACAGTTTCAGATGCAAAATGGAAGAATCACAAACCCACTAAAGTGAGCAACAACAACAACAAACAAACAAACAAAAAGAGAGAAGAAGAAGAAGAAAAACAACAAACCGTCCGAAATAATAAATTCCAAACTATAGATAAAACCAAAGTCAGAATTAAAACACTGAATCCTGATGAATGTGAGTCAAAATTCACTGTTCATATAAAAGCATCTTAAGTACATGAGAGAGAGAGAGAGGAAAAATTACCTGATTTCCAAAACCGATTCCTACCCCAAGCATTATCCGACCCAAGAAGAGCATCGCCAAATTGATGGCGGCTGCATTGAGAGTGGCTCCAATGAAGAAACTGATTCCTCCACAAACTATACTCACTTTCCTCCCATACTTTCTAGTAATCGGAGATACCCCAATTGAGGCAACAAGGCCTGCCATGTAGAGAGAGGAGGTGAAGGTGGAGAGGCCCTGATTATCGTACTTGCAGTAATTATTATTCTTTGATTGAAATTTTTTCTTCCTATACACCACAGGAAAGAACTTCTCCAGAAAAGGATCCATGGATGTCACTCCTCCTGTAAATTAGATAAGTATTAGACCTTACTGTTTATATAACAGAAACCTATAATATTACTCAAAATGATATAGATTGCTCATTTTTATCCGCAAATATTGACATTTTCCTATAATATAAGATATATGATGAATTATGCAAAGCTAATGCAACGGATCAGAGCATTTCAGAAGTACATCTCATTAGCCCTGAATTTTGAATTTGCATTTACCTAAATCCAATACAGCTATGCAATTATATGCATTCCATAATCACAATCATACCCATGTTTCAGTTTTCCACTGATGATAAAATCATTTTCCCAATACAGGGCAAAGAACCTACCAAGAACAAGCAAAACATCTTAATGGTTTTCCTCTTCCATTTCTGATCTTTTTCTCTTCCATTTCTATTTTTTTTTCTTCTCCTTTCTGATAAATTCAAGGATTACTTTTAAACCAAAGATAACATCAAGGATAATTTTTATGACAAGGCAAGCAGGTATTTTTCTGAAGATATCAGTAAGAGAGAGAGTGTCACATAAAACCTGAAATTCCAATGTCATAGCCAAAGATGGAGCCTCCTATTGCTGCAACCATGCAAGCCGTGACCACAACCAGGGTCAACCGGCCTTGATATTGATCTGCTCTCTCTTTTGCTACACCAGTCGGCCCAAAAGATCCTCCGGCCATTTTAGAAAGAGAAAGAAAGAGAGAAAGAGAGAGACAGAGAGCTCTATCAGAGAGGAGATGGGGTTTATCTGTAAAATCATTCTCCAAGTTGTTCTGCCTTACTATTAAAGACCCAAATTACTATTTTTTGGTATTTAGAATAAGGAACAATGTGTACTTCAGTAATTCAACCTTATAAGGCTTTACCCGAATGATAAAATGCTCCAAGTTGTTGTGCATTACAAATAAATAACACATCGTTCTCAATTAATAATATAAAACGTTAAGGACATTTTTGACACTTTATAGATGCCAAGCATTAAAATGCATAATTATAAAACAAAAAATCGTTTCATACAAGCCTGACCGCATTTCTACATATGCAGTCCGGAAAGTGGAAAGCATCCATCTTAAAGATGGATGCAAGTAGGTGTTCCATTTAAAAACAATGAAAATTAATGGTCCAAATGTTTTTTTATTAGAATTATTATTTTTAGATTTTAAAATTTATTTATTTTTTCACATTCAAGATCTCCATGTTAGAGATCACATATCCTTAAAAATTAAGTCTTAAAATCTATTTCAAAAATAGATTTATTAAGAGGCTTACATGAGGTCCTCATTTTTACACATGCGGGCTTGGCCGCATAAAAACTGTCCTTTTAAAAATTATATAGTTTGAAAAAAGATAAATTACAGATTTTAGAAGTTGAATATATAATATAGAAACAAATATGGGGATTGAGAGATTTAGATGATGAGGATGAAGAGAAAGAGCTCACGTGGGAGAGAGATATAAATCATAAATTTAAAAACTGTCAATATATAATATGTAAGAGATGTGAGAATTGAGAGGTAGAAGAGGCCCACAGTGGAGAAGATATGGGGCACGGGAGAGAGAGAGAGAACGAGGAGAAGGAAAGAGGGTCTCAATAAGAGCTTGAGAAGGGGAAGGAGGGAGGTATCACACAAAGAGAGACGGTGTGGGAGAGGAGGAGAGAGAGTGAGTGAAATCGTGAATAGAAGCATGAGAGAACTTTCAAAGAGAAGTTCATACATTATAAATAGAATTTTAATTTATTAATTTTATATGTTGGACCAAATTTTTACTTATGCATTATGCATATGTAGGTATTCTCTCGGTTATATGAAGTGTTCTATAATGTTTTATAATCTTTTTATTTTCTTTAAATCATGCTTCTAGTTGAATATCCTCTTAATATTGTATTTTTTTACCATTGAAGTAATTGATTTAATTTTTATTTAAATTAAGATATGTTATTTTGACATGAGTCTTTTTTTTTTCTTTTCGGTGATTTTTTCCCCTTTTTTTTTCTTTTGACTGATCAACGCGATCTCTCATTCTCTCTAAAGTTGCTATTTAACTAAGGTATGCATTTAACCTTTTGAATTTTATTGCGTAGATTTTATTTTTAATTTACATTATTAGAAAGCTATAGATTGGATATTTGTTAAATATGTATTCAAATTCATGGTCAACATTTATACATGTAATTCAAACTATTTTTTTATGAATTCAACCATAATATATTAAACAAATAGAAATACTATTTCTTTGTAATTTAAATTCTAAAAATAATAATTATTTTATTTGAAATGCTCATGCTTCTAATATTTATTGGTTAATATTTTGGGTAATTATCTCAAATATACTTTAATTTTAGTTTAATTAGAAAAAAAACCCAAACTTCTGTAAACCTTGTTGATACCATTTTTCTTCATTTTTTGCTTTTTTTATTTTAAAATGACCTTCACAGTAGTCATATTACCGTGAAGAACATTACGGTACTTTAACTATCATAATAGTTAGTGCATTTTATACAGTACTTTAAGTACCATAATACTTAGGGCATTTTACACGGTACTTTAAGTACCATAATATTTAGGGCATTTTATACGATAGTTAAAGTACCATAATACTTAGCGCATTTTATATGGTACTTAAAGTACCATAATACTTAGGGCATTTTATATGGTATTTTTAGTACCGTAATGCTTAGACATTTTATAGGGCAATTTTAATACCGTAATATCTCGAATATTTATTATGGCACTTGAACTACGATAATTATCGCCCGCCCTTTTCAAGTCGATTTATGTCATAGAACCCTATTTTCACAATTTCTTTATTATAAACTCATCTTTCCTCATCTTCCTTAGCGGTCTCTCTCTCTCTCATCCATTGCTCATCTTCCTTGGCCTCCTCGCTCTCTCTCTCTCTCTCTCTCTCTCATCCATTGAGCTTGTAAGCAACAATAATTAGTGACAACAGAGTGAAAATCATTTTACACTTTGGTGGTTTTTCAAGAGAAAACCTAATAATGGACGTCTTTTATGACGGTGGGGACATGAAGGTTATATTTTTTAGGGGGGATCCTATCATTTGACCAAGTAAATGATCACTTGTCAAAAGTATCAAATTATGCCACAAGTACTATAACTATTAGGTATATTGACCTACGGTTATCAAGTAACAGTAATATGATATGCATTGATGATGATAACGACATTGCAAAGATGATGGCAGAAGTATCTTCTCCCATCACTATGTATGTATCAAATAGAGCTATTAAGTCCGACTCCACTAAATATCGACCACCAACAATGCCCAATAATGGTCCATCAAGATTGGCCATATAAGAAGTTTGCAATGAAATTCCTTATTTTTTATTTATCAATAATTTGTTATGGGTTAGGATAATTCTCAATTGTTCTTCAAATTTTATTTCGATAGCAGTTCCGACCAAAGCACGTATCAAAAAATCCTATTGAGTCCAACTCCATTGAATATCGACCACCAACAGTGCCTGATACATGTTAGAAGTTTGCAATGGAATTCATTAATTTTGATTTATCAATATTTTGTTATGTGTTAGGATAATTCTCATTCGTTCTTTAATTTTTTTTTCGACAGCAGCTCCTAATCAGAGCAATTAGTTCACATTGAAGGTGTTGCTGGCATAGGCGTAGAAGATGAGCATGATTCAGAAATCGAGCGGCATATTGACGACATCGATTTGATAGAAAGCCCCCTCAGGATTAACTATTACGAAGTACATAACTATTACGAAGTTGTACTTCGACAAGGTCAGGCTTTTGATGATGTACATGCATGTCATGATCACCTTATTGATTGTGTCATATCACAAAACTTCAATATGAAGTTTATAAAAAGCAATGAGAGACGTGTATGGGTGAGGTGTGTTGTAGATGAGTGTTCATGAAAAGTGCGTTATTGGAGGGTTAATACAACAAACTTCTTCAGGGTGAAGAAGTTTTTAAACATGCAATCATGTGCCGGTGGAATAGGTAGGGTTCATCAACCGTTTGCTCGAAGCCACTGTGTGGCAAACAAAATCAAAGACCGTTTGAATGATATGCACAATCTGACACATGGAGATATGGTTAATGATATACAACATGATCACGATGTCATGCTTTCTTACCACCAAGCATGGCGGAGTTAAGAGGTTGCACAAGAGATAAATAAGGATTCCCATGTGAAGGCATATGAGGATCTCATCAACCACTTCATAAAATCTGAATCTCTAACCCTAAAACCGTAATGATTACTCAAACATATGATCATGATAGGTTTACGCGTGTATTTATAGACAATCCGTCCATATTTGTATGGTTACAGGCCACTGATGGGACATTTTGATGGGAAGATACAAAAGGATACTATTGGCTGCAGTTGAGGTAGATGCGAATGAAAATATATTTCCTATAGCATATGCGGTGGTTGAGAGTGAAAATACAACAAGTTGGACTTGGTTTCTAAAGCTTATCAATGAGCAGTTTGACGAGAGGCCTAACTTGCTAGCATTGACTATTATTTCAGATCGTCGTAAAGGTTTATAAGCCACAATTGAAAAAGCATTCCCAACCAGTGAACAAGGCTATTGTATGAATCACCTTGCCGTTAACTTCAAAAAGGCCTATAGAAATTCGGCACTCACAAAACTTTATTAGAAAGCTGTACGTGCATTGTCTATATCAGACTTCGATGAGTACATGACAAATATTAAGAGTGCAAATGTTGAGGCCTATGACTGGATCATGTTACAACATCCAAAATATTAGACAAACGCATATTTTCGAGGGTGTAGATACAATCATCTAATATCGAACATCTCCGAATCATATAACCGGTGGATATTAAATGCTCGAGAGAAGCTCATTATTAAACACCTTGAATGCCTACGGGTTAAGCTCATGGGGGTCTTTCCAAAGAAGATGACCATGTCCCGAGAATGGAGCGGCGTGCTTACACCGAAGGCTCAAGAGGCGATATACAAGAGGTGGGATAAGTCCAGATTCCTTCATACAGTCATATGGGTACATGATAGTATGTATGAGATTAATGCGATAAGAAGTATGTTATTAATCTAGTAACACATACATGCAGTTGTCGGGTGTGGTAAGTTAGTAGGTTTTCATGCAGTCATGTGATCGCCACTATAGATTATAGGCATGAAGATGTTACAGAGTTTTACAGCATTTATTTCACAGTTCAAATGTACTGTAGAGCATATTCGTTCCCTTCAACCCAATGCTTGATGCACTAGAGTTGCCAGATATTGTCTATACAACAGTAATGCAGCACGCTGCAAGGCGAACAGGCGTTCGGTCAGAAACGATGCAGGCAAACAAAGTACAAAGAGATTTGGCCTCTAAAGTGTAGCTGATGCAAGGTAGTGAGCCATGAGTGTGAGTTCATCTTTTTTTTATATGCCATTTTGTGTTTGAATTTTGTGTCAGTTCATCTTTGTTTTATATGCCAATTTTTTATATGCCATTTTGTGTCAGTTCATCTTTTTTTTTTTAAAGAGGCCATGAGTGTCAGTTCAACTTTTTTTTATATGCCATTTTGTGTTTGAATTTGTAAAGAGACCAGTACATGCTGATATGACGTTTTGGTTCAATTAATGAAATATCACTTAAGTTAAATATTTAAAAAGTATGTGATCAATGTTTAGATCAATTAAGTTCAAGTTTATGTGTTTGATTGTATGTATTACAATAATAAGTATTACAGTATTTCTTTTGGAGCATACGATTTTATGTGTCTGATTGTATGTATTACGGTAATTAATATTACGGGTCTTTTAGAGAATTACGGTTTTTTGTTTACTGTAATGCTTAAGTATTACAGTAATTCTTTTACCGTAAAGAAACGTAAGAGCATTACAGTACTCAAACGACCATAATG